TCCTGAGCTGTAGGAATGCAGTGTTTGGTGATCTGTGATCACTTCTTTTCCAGTTCCAGTCTATGGGAGCCAGGGCTTTGTGGAGCCAGCAGCTAGTGGACGTAGTGATGCTGCAGGTTTCTGACACTTCCAGGTTGGCTTCATGTTTCAGGGCCGGTTGCTACGTCCATCTTTTATACAGTCTAAGATAAAAACAGGGATTTCTTTTAAAAGAAGCTGTTTGTTTGAAGCCAGAGACCACAGAGGCAGTGATCAATCAGATGAAATCAAGAGACAGAAAAACGTTTGCGACTTGTTGAGCTTTAAACAGTTCACTTTAGATCAAGTTCAGAAACGTTGTTCAAATTAATTCAACCAACAAACTACACTGAGCTACTAAAACTAACTTTCCCTCTTCTGTCAAATGTAGTTTGACTTCTTTAACTATTATTGAATGATTAATTATTGATTGGAGTTGATTGACACGTAAAACTAGCTTCTTCCAACTCGTGTTTGTTTGTTTGTCGGTTCAGAAGCCGACATTTGTTCTTGTAGTTATGAACAAGTTTATATGTTGAAACATTTAAAAAAATATCGTGTATTTTGTGTTTATCTTCTGTCCTTCTTCCTGATTGGTCAACAGCTCCGACTGACCTATGGGTGAGCACTGGACAGGAAGTGGCCTCGGCGCTCCGGGCTATGGGCCTGCCCATTGGTCCGGTGGTGACCATGGAAACACAAGACAAGGGCGGAGCTCAGGATGCGCTGAACGAGATCCGAGAGGCTGACCAGGTGAAAGGTGAGAGCCGAGAGACTCAACACTCACATTTGTTGGTTTGCTGCAGCTTCGAGGTTTCAGCTCAGAGGAGTCGCAGATTAACGAGGAGAACAGGCGGCGCTTTGAAAACTCCCAGTGAGGCGACATCAGTTCCTCTCTGGCTGTTTGTTGTCACCATTAAAAAACCAAAACGTCTGTCCAGAGCCAAGTAGGGAGCGTTAGCATGAGCCTCGCTAGCAGGAAGCAGAAGGATTTATGTTCTTCTGTAACTTGTCTCTGTGCTGCGGTTCTGTTTACCACTGACTGAAGCTAGTTTCTGTAAGAACCTGTTTCCAGACCAAGACTTTCCTCCCAGAGGCTCAATGCAGCAGGAAACCCATTCTGGAAGGTCCTTCAGGATTACGAACCAGTTAATCACCAATCAATCAATCAATCAATCAGTCAATCAATCAATCAATCAATCAATCAATCAGTCAATCAATCAATCAATCAATCAATCAATCAATCAATCAATCAATCAATCAATCAATCAATCAATCAATCAATCAATCAGTCAGTCAGTCAGTCAGTCAATCAGTCAATCAATCAATCAATCAGTCAATCAGTCAACCAATCAATATCTCTGATCTCGGCTCCTTTGTGTCTTCAACCATCAGGTTCTTCTGTTTCGACGTTCGTTCAACATAAAGTTGTGGTTTAGTCGGAGAACCTTGGAGAACGTTGTTGTGTTCCACCACAGCAGGACTGCATCCATCGGTTGTCTTCATGATCAATAATTCTGATCATTTACTAAATGAGCTTATTATGATTAGTTGTAACCAGTGAGCTAACCCTAACCCATCCAGCCTGTTGTTGGCTGTCTGGCCAGCAGGGGGCGACTCCTCCCCTCTAATCTGTCATATAGACGGTTAAATGAGTCTCAACAGGACGCTGATCAGAGCTGATCCACGTTACCAATCATTTCCTCCTCAGTGGTCATCATGTGCATGAGCTCCGTCCTCATTGGTGGAGAGGACCAGAAAGAGCTGCTATTGGCTGCACTGGACATGGGGATGGTTTCCGACGGTTACGTGTTTGTTCCGTATGACGCGCTGCTGTACGCGATGCCCTACCAGGTACCGGCTCACTGTGACACCTGCTGCACCTGAAACACTGAGGTAGTCCCAGGTGACTGGATCCACTGACCACGGTGTTGTTTTCCTCCAAACCGGGCCTGTTCAGGACACAGTGTTCCACCAGCTGACCAACAGCACGCGGCTCCGTCACGCCTACAGCGCCGTCCTCACCGTCACCATGGCGTCCGACCAGAGCTTCTACGAAGCCTTTCGTCAGGCGCAGATGAGCCGAGAGATTCGCTCAGCGGTCTCTGCCAAGGAGGTAAACAACAAACACCCACATGTAAACAACACGCTGGCTGCACAACCACACTCATCCTCAGGTCCGTTTCACAGGAACCACTTCTGAACGAAGCGTGTTTCGTCTCCTGACTTCAGAGGAAAGACGTCCAGAACCAGAGCTCAGAGTTCTGGTTTCCTGTTGTTCAAGCTTTTAAACTGTGCTAAACACGTGTTTGCTTAACAAACTGCTCGGCCCGGTTTAGAAAAGCGTTTGGGTTGAACTGTTCCACTGCATGTTTGAGGCTTGTCCTCCATTTTCTGGGTTGCTGTGGTAACCATCTGACGTATGATTGGTTGGCTGACAGTGAGGCCGAGACGTTTGGTTGGAGCCGCCGTCCTCTAAAGGCTTGAATCCATGACTGTGTCTGCAGGTGTCTCCGATGTTCGGGACCATCTTCAACATGGTGTACTTCGTCGCTAAGGCCGTGGAGGAGCGTCGCCAGGCAGGGGGCGGGCACTGGGTGACGGGCAACCAGCTCGCCCAATCGGACGGAGGCTTTGATTTCCAGGGCTTCAATCAGGTCAGTCTGTCTCAGAGGAAGCTGAACTCAGGAGAAGCTGTGGAGTGGATCTGATACAGAACCAGAACCAGAGTCTGACGGCAGGCAGCCGGACGGGAAGTAAAACATGTGGTCAGGCTCCACAGCGTCTCGTATTCAACCTTCAGACCAGAAGGAATGAAGCAGAACACAGTAGAAACCCGTTGACGTACTCCAGGTAGTTGCTTCTTATTTCAGGGACGTATTTAAGACGTTCTGATCCGATGTGTTCTTCACTGCAGCCTCCTGAATGAGACAGCACTGCTCTGAGAACAGCATGTTCTGATCTTCAGTGAGTTGTAGCCCCGGTGTAAGTCCAGAACCTCACAGAAGGTTGAAGACGTTGAGCACCTCACAGAGACGAGCGCTGAGCGGCTCAGCTCCGCCAGCAGCCACACTGCAGCAGATGAGCTGCTCTGAGTCTCCTCAGTGTCTTGAGATGAGATAAATCTGTGAGCTTCAGCTGCTCTCTTCTGCCTCCTCTCTCTTCTCAGGTGTTATATGGAGGTAAAGGGGGGCGGGGCCTGCAGTCCAGGTACGTGGTGTTGGGCAGCGACGGCGACCGCTTCATGCCGACTCACTCTCTCGCACCGACTCACACCGACGGGATGATCGGAAACCTCCGACCGCTGAGCCGATCCTTCATCTTCCCCGGAGGAAAACCCCCCCCGGCCAGCTTCTGTTGGTTCGATCCGGAGGAGGCCTGCAGCGGCGGTGCGTTCACTGACAGGCGGGGAGGGTGGGAGCTTTGTGCTGGTGCGGTCCAGAGCGTCAGAGTGTTCTGTAGTGCTGACAAAGCGTACGATGATGTGATGTCATGAGCTGCAGTCGGACCACCAACCTAACCCTAACCCTCAGACCACCCTACTGCTGCTGTGTGAACATCATCATGGCGTGGTTAGTGGAGACACTCTGGATGGTTGGTAGACCTTTAGACCAATCACAGCCGGCCTGGGCGGAGCTCAGCGAAGGACTGGGTCACAGGGTTCTGGTGGAGCACTTGTACACAGGATGTTCAAACTGGGATGAAAATGAATGATTTACTGACACTCACTAGCAGAGCTGCTGTACTGCACCATGAGCACCTTCTGCAGAGCTTCTGTGGTCCTCAGCAGGTCGGTGTCTCCTGAGTGAGGGAGGTTTGATGTCAGCAGCATGTAGACAGAGGGAGAGGACACTGAGTCAGACTGATCCTGACCAAGCTCAACGTGTCCTCGAGTCATATCCAGGCCACAGCAGCTGCAGGTTCTTCATGGAGCTGAACCTTGGTCTTCATGGTCCCTGCAGACCAAGGTGGTGCTGCAGTCCCAGTCTGTGGACTCAATGTGCAGCAACAGTCACAGTCTCTGGTTGGTTTTAGTGGAAAAGAAAAAACGCTCACGTCTTACAGTGTGTTCAAATAACCCCAGCATGCCTCCATGTTGTCGTGATGCGTTCAGGGCAGCTCGGAGGCGCATCATGAGGATGAACCTGTGGCGTCGGTGCTGAGTAGAATCAACCTGTGTTCTGTTGTTCTGCAGGTGTGAACACGCTGATGATGGCCGCCGCCGTGCTGCTGCTCTGCGCTCTGATTGGAGCGTTTCTTTACTGGATCAGGTAAGACACCGTTCAGAGAACCTGTGGAACCATGCGATCGATCACTGAGCTTATTGACGGTTAAACCTGATTGGTCCTGATTCTGATCCTAGAAAGCACAAGAGGACAGTGAACGTCACCAAACTGATCCTGACTCTGGACGACATCGTCTTCATCGACACTCAAGTCAGCAGGAAGGTCAGAGCTGCACCTCCAGGAGAACTAGTTACTGACCGCAGGACTAGTCTGCTGCTGCTAGTCACCGACTCTGGAAACAACCGTAGGAAGAGCTTTACAGCAACGTCACACTGAGCAAGTAGCGATGCTAACGTGAGCCAATAAACAGGATCCCAACTGAGCTAGACAGTCCCAGGAGCAGATGAGGCTCATCCAGGACATCAGCACAAAGGGTCCAGGGCTGCTGTCATTCTGCTCCAGGAGGAAAACGCTCTGTTTGTCTTTCACCTCCTGGTCCGAACCTTACTCTGACAGCGTTGCTGATTATTTAGACTCAAGCAGCTTCCACCATCATCCTGAGGTCCTGTAGACGCTCTGCTGCCCCAGCTGAAGGCTCTTTGTTCTCAGAAAGTTCTACAAATGTTTTCTCATGTTATTGAGGCCTCACATGACTTGTATAAAATGTTCCTGTAATGTTCTTCATGTCGTTTCCATAGAAACTGAATGACGAATCAATCATGAGGAGTCTCCTGGAAATTAAAACTCCGTTCCGCTCGATTGCTCGAAGTTACATCCTGACGACACCGGAGAGCTCCAACATCGGCATCCTGGAGGTACACCTGTTCCCGTGTTCACGCCTGTTCCCGTGTCCCCACCTGATCCCGTGTTCAACCCTGTACCCGTGTTCACACCTGTTCCCGTGTCCCCACCTGTTCCCGTGTTCACACCTGATCCCGTGTTCAACCCTGTTACCGTGTTCACGCCTGTTCCCGTGTTCACNACACACACTCCGACCCATGTACATGTCCACACGTATGACGTGACACATTCTACACGCTACCTCTGGACTGAGCTTTCAGGAATGCAGGTTCTGGAATGTGATGGAGTTCTGAACCGACTGGAGCGGCCGCTGTGATTGGTCGATCCCTTCCTGTCCTTCATCCAATCAGTCGACTCTGTGCCTGAGTCCATGACCCGACGCTGACCAGTAGTGACCCGTTGGACTGTTCTGTTTCTGTTCTGTCTCCACTGTGCTGTGTTGTAGACCAGAGGTGGTCAACCCGCGGCTCCGGGGCCGCATGTGGCCCTTTCATCCCTCTGCTGCAGCTCCTTTGGAAAACAAATCCTGAGCTTTTCATTTGATGTGTTTTAGTTCACTAGTTTTTAACGTGTAATTCTACGTCTGAAGATTTCTATGATCTTGTAACATTAAAATAAAACATGTTTAATTTTTTGTCGCTCAAATTGTGCGTCACAACCTCCGATGTGCGACCCCTGCCGCCACGAGCAGCGCTGCCAACTGGGCCGCGTTCTGGATAAATCTGGACACTTTCCAGACCTCTGGCCCACTTTTTTTTGTCAAACGCGACCAGCGACAAATCTTCTGGTGTTTTGGAGACTCTGAGGTGAAAACTGGTATCGTTGAGCCGTTCCTGTCCTCAGCGAGCAGCGGTGCTGCCGTGAGCTCCTCCGTCCCAAAGAGCTCACAGGCGGTCAGCAGTCTGGTCGAAATGTTTTTGTTGCAGAAATAAAATGTGGTTTCCTCTGCAGCAGCTCACTGGTTTCATAAATGCAGCAACACTGTAGTTTATATACACAGCGTAAAGGTAGAAACCATGTATGCAGGGTTATCCTCATTTCAGATGTCAGACGGGTTCTGTGGGAAACGGGTCCAAATGGATCTCTGAGTGTTGAAGGATGCCGACCCCTGGTCTAGACCTAGAGTCTACAGCGGCGTGCTCCTCTGCAGTGCATGCTGGGT